AAGGCTGTGGGGCGTGGGGAGAATGGTGTGCAGATTAGAGGCGGAAAGCCCAGTTGGGAACCTTCTGCAGTAAACAGAGGCTGTGCTCAGTTCAGGGTAGTGGAGATGGATAGTAGATCCATTGGAGGGAGATTTAGGATGTAGGGTTGTTGGTTAGGCCTTGATGATTGACTGGAGAGAGGAGATGAGAGAAAGGGAGGAATGTGGGATGACACCCAGGATTCTAGTGTATGGTGTTCCTGGGGGACACAGGAAGTGGAGCAGAGTTGGAGGTTGGGGAAGATGGCTTTACCCTTTGGATGTGCTCAGTTTGACCTGTGGGAGTCCAAGTGGAGGTGGCCCATTTTCCACTAGACGTGCAGGTCTAAGACTCAGGAGTGCTATGGGTTAGGCCATCAGTCACGGCAGGAAAGGGAATCACCCTGAACAGTGGTGGATGGGGAAGCGAAGCTGGCCTCAGGGAGCCCTGGGGGACGTCAACACAGAGGGAAGGGCAGAGGAGAGAGGCCAGTGATCGGGGCAGAAGGTGCCACAGAAAACAAGGAAAGAGAGTGTGGACAGGAGGGAGTGAGATGGTGCCCAGAAAGTGCCCTTGGAAAGGAGCAACATTTGCGTTCCTGGTGAGAGGAGTGCAGTGGCCTGGTGGGGCAGGAGAGAGTAGGATGGGGGAAAAGTGAAAAACAAAATATAAGCAATCCTTTCTGTACATTATTTATTGTGAAGTAGAAAAGATAGGTTGTGAAATACATGTTAGGAAATTTTTGCTTAAAAAGTCCACTGGCCGACTGTGCCATCACCAAGGTAATAAAAGAAGGACTTAAGACAAAGCTGGTGGCAAACAAGTGGACGTCAGGGCAGCTCATTGCTGCAAAAATAACATTTTGGGAAAATATAATTGACAGTGGTATTGGTGACCTTTGAGTGGAGGGAAATCTTAACTTCCTCCTGTTTTTCTTTTTTTTTAGATAAATTTTATTTATTTATTTTTATTTTTGGCTACGTTGGGTCTTTGTTGCTGTGCGCGGGCTTTCTCTAGTTGCGGCGAGTAGGAGCTCCTCTGTTGCAGTGCACAGGCTTCTCATTGCAGTGGCTTCTCTTGTTGCGGAGCATGGGCTCTAGGCACATGGGCTTTAGTAGTTGCAGCACGTGGGCTCAGTAGTTGTGGCTTCTGGCCTCTAGAGCGCAGGTTCAGTAGTTGTGGTGCATGGGCTTAGTTGCTCTGCTGCATGTGGGATCTTCCCGGACCAGGGCTCGAACCCGTGTCCCCTGCATTGGCAGGCGGATTCTTAACCACTGCACCACCAGGGAAGCCATTTACCTCTGTTTTTGATTTTTTGCAGACCATCATTTTATAACTTAGAATTTTAAAAATTAAAAATTGCTAATTGAAGAGTGATTTGGAGCTTTGTTTTATTTCTTAAATCCCCTGGGCAGGGGGAGGGGGTGCTTGAGCACATCTAAATGCCGAGGAGAAGGAGGTAAATGTGAAGGTATGTGAAAGGGAGGACAGCTGATGGAGCTCGGTTCAGGGGAAGGGGCAGGAAGGGGGATCCAGGCCACTGTAAGGGATTAACTTCTGACCCTGTGAAGGAAGGCAGGGATGGTTTGCTGATGCAGGGAGGTTTACAGGTGGGGTTTTGGGGAACAAGGTGAGACAGGTTATCTGCTTCGATGAAGGAAGAGAGGAGGTGGTGTTAAAGGTTGGGAGAAGAGCCATGTTATGGGTTCAGAACCCGGATGTAGAAAGAGCTGTGCCTGTGGCTTAATAGGAATTAGCCCGGAGCTAGGTAGGGGTGCCTGCTAGCTTAAGGCACAGAGGAACAGGGTCTCTTCCCAGTGTGACTGAGTGGTAATGGTTCAGAAGCAAGGAGGATGCCGGCCGTGCCTCTTGATGGTGTCAGTGGAACAGGGCTGGCCGTGTGACAGTGACAGTTCCCTCAGGAGAGCTGCATTTCCATTAAGACAGAGGGTGGAGAGAACATTCGTGAAGGGGTGGGTGCGTCACTTTGGTAAGGGTGTTCTAGAGCGCCCATAGAGGTTTTAGGGGAGGAAAACAGATGGTTTGGAACTGGGGAGAGAAATTGGTCATGTGGAGATGAGCTTACAGCAAGACTAGCTGTGTGGAGAAGCTTCCATCTTGAGACAGAGTTTGACAGGGACATGAGACGTGGTGGGACCTCAAGGTGGCCAGAAGAGTTAGTCCCTAGTTGGCTGGGATTTCTCTTGGTATGCAGTCTGTGCCTGCCCTCGTCACAGATCTGAGAGTCCTCTGACAGACGGGTGTTGATACGTGGCCTTAGGTGATTCCGACTGATGGTGGAGCGTGCTGGGTCCTGAGGCTGCTGGTGGACGTGCTGTTGGTGACTTGCCAGCCACGTCCTGCCCTCACGTCTGCTTGTCACCCCCACTCTGGTCTTCAGGCCTCGTCTTCCTGTACGTCTGTGACCGCACAGTCTGCGAGCAGGTCTTTCTTCAGTTTCTTGAAACTTGAACAGTCCCGTTTTGCTGTTAGATTAATTTTGTTAAAACCCTGCCTTTGTCATATTCAGCCTGTGGTACTGGACCAAGTGTCAGAGGCCTCCATGGTCTGGCTGCACCGTACTTCAGTTTCTGCTATTCCCCAGGTTCATAGAAGCTGCGGCCTCTGAGCCACGTCCTTTGCTGTCATCCACCAGTGCATTCTTGGACTCTTTAATCAGTAGAAATTGAGGCAAGGCTTTATCGGAACTCAAGGGAGCAAAAGCAAGCAGCAGGTTCCCTTGCTCACTCCCCCAGGGTGGGGGCAGATCGGTGGGTGGGGCCAGGGGGTGGCTTGGGTGGTCTGCCCACCCCCGTGGTGGTGCTGTGCGCGGGGATCATGCCAGGAGCCTGCTTTTGCTTCTGGCACCTCAGAAATGGCAGGTGGGTTTTGGCCTTTTTGTATCTTTGTTCTTTTTGCCCCCGCTGCCCTGCATGCAGTTATTTTTAGTCCCTTATTGTTTCTCTGTGTTCTGTTGCTCCAGGAGATGTTTGTCCTGGTGCAGGCACTGCAACAAAGGGTCCCAGGTCCCAGCCTGTCTCACAGGCAGTTAGGGTCAGGCTTGTTCTGCAACTTGATGGTGTGTGCTTCCCGTCTCTGTCCCGATTTTGCCCCTCCCAGGCTCAGCTTAGGTCTTACTCTGTACACGATCCTCATCCCCGTGGACCTGGCCTCCACGCTTTTCCTTGTCTAACGTAGGATATTTATTGTCTTGTAGAAATGTCTTGGTTACAGCCTGTGACTGGTGTGTAAGTGATCAGCCAGACGGGACTCATGATCCTCTGCTCTCAGGAGCGCACACCTGGTACCAACTCCCCCCATCGCCGTGGAAGCATGAGGCGAGCTGTCCTTCCCTGCAGCCTTGAATCCCGTCTCTCTCTCTCCTTCTCCTGGGCCTCATCCTTTGTTCTTGCCTCTCCTTTCTCTGCCGTCTCTACCCTTTTTACTGGCTCCCAGCCCTAAACACTTTTCCCTCCACAGTGAAACATGCTTAATAGCTCCCAGCCCTAAACACAGACCACCTTGCTCGGCCCCGAGTTCCTCTGCTCCCCTCAGAGCACGGGGTAGCAGTTGCCTCACTCCCTCATCTCGCTTACTGTTTAGTTTGTTCTGGTCTCTGTTCTCTCCCTGCCATTCCCCTGAGAATGTTCTTTTTGAGGACATCTGGGGCTCTGTGCTGTCACATCTGGAGGACACGTGGCCGTCTTGCTCCCCCCTCAGCACCCTCTGTAGTTACCGCTTCTTCACACACGTTCCTCTGTTGGCTTCTGTGCCCTCTGCCTGGTTTTCTTTCCACCTCACTGGCCACTCCTTCTCTATCTCTTTAGCCACTTTCTTTTTCAGGACGCTCTCTGTGTCTACAGCGTTCAGTCCTGTTTGTAGTCCTTTCGTTCTCTTCCTTGTGTGTAAATGCCGAGAGCCTTGCGGGTCTTGTTCCTCGAGATGCTAGGGCTTCAAATATTGTACATATGCTAATGACTCCCTTACCACACCCCCAGGTTTCAGGCTTGGGAACCCAGCTGGTGCTCCCTGTTTCCACGTGCTGCCTGCTGGGTCTCTGGCTGTTGACATCTAAGACTGGGACCTTTCACTGTTTACACGTATGCACACCCTCACAGCCTCCCTCCCTATGTCTGATCCATCTCACATAGTCTGTGGCCCCAGTTGCTTACCCCACAAACTTAACCATCATCCTTATTTCTCCATTTTTCCCGTTTTAACATCCAGTTTGTTGGCAAGTAAGTTCTGTCTTTTCTACTTCCCAAACAATCCAGTCATTTCTCTGACTCTGCTGCCACCATCCTTGTCTGAGCCACCATGGTGTCCCCCCTGGAGAACTGCCATAGCTTCCTGACTCACCCCTGCTTTCCCTGTCCTTCTAGGAGCCTTCCATGGAGCCAGCCTGATCTTGGAAAAACAGACCAGATTATGTCATTCCCCTACTTTAGTGTTTTCCTTTGCATGTAGAATAAATCCCACTCCTCGTGGTGGCATCCAAGAGCTGTGTACGATTGGTCACTGCCACCTCCAGCTCGGTCTCAGGTCACCTCCTCTCCCTCACGTGCTGTGGACATACTGGCCTCTTTTCTGTGCTTAGACTCCTCAAGCTCTATCTCACTTCAGGGCCTTTGCACATGCTGGTTCTTCTGTCCAAACACTCTCACATAGCGGGTTCTTTTTCATCCATCAGGTCTTTTCAAATGTCATCTTCTTTCTGACCATGATATTTTGGTGTGCCCCTAGTGACTCCGTCGTACTAGCTTTGTTACTTGTTTTATTTGTATACTGGCTGCTTGTCTCTCTCTGTCTCAAATGTAAGTTGTGTAAAGGCAGGGACCTCCTCATTTGTCTTCATTGCTGTATCTATACCTAGCAATGTGTCTGGAACTCAGTAAGTTCTCAGACATTTGCTGAATGTACAATTACTGTTCTGTGTTTCAACACTCTCGTTAATCTTATGCTCTTGGTTTTCTCTGTCTAGTTTGAATTCTTGGGATCTGCTTCTTGCTGAGTGAGAGCACGTCTTCCAGTTGCTGACAGACGTGATGTTTTACCAGTTGCTATCGGTGGTCCGAAGACCAAGAAGCAGCCAAGGATGGCAGAAGTGGTCCTCAGCCAGAAGCGGTGCGTCAGCTGCCAAAGCACATTCTGTGGCCCTGCCTGCCCAGGCACAGGTGGTCATCTGTGGTGGTGGAATCATGGGCACATCTGTGGCCTATCATCTCTCCAAGATGGGGTGGAAGGATATCGTCCTTTTGGAGCAGGGCAGGTAGGGATCAAGCTGGATATGGCTTGGGGCTGTACTGCACTGATTATATGGGCTTCCCTCATCCCTCTCATTTCAGTAATACTGACTCAGCAATAGCTAATGTAAGTGTCACTAAGTAGCATAAGTAGAATTACAGAAAAGTGAAATCTTTGGTACTTTGTTTTGCGATGCCTAATACTCCTGTTTTCTGGGTTTCAGAGAGATGGCAGATTGGAACATAACAAGTAGCTAAAAGATGTGTTTTTTTCCAGTTCAAAGCACATCTTATCATCTTGCTCTCTTTGTTGTAATAATACAGCAATAAATCCTGCGACTCAGGTGCTTCCTCTTTGAGCCAAAGTGAAATTGGCTACATTATTTCTTATTTCTGTTCCTTTTCAGTTGATTAACTTACTTTAGAACAGTTTAGATTTATAGAACAATTGCAAGAATAGTGCAGTTACCATATACCTTGCATCCAGGTTTACCTACTATTGACATCTTATATTAGGATTAATGTTTCATATAATGACGCAATTGTGATACATTATTTTAAACTAACGTTGTTGCTTTATTCGAATTTATTCACTTTTCACCTAGTGTCCTTTTTCTGTTCCATGCTGTTTATGTTCTGTTGCCTACCACAAATTGGACAACATTTTAAAAATTTTAAGTGTGGTTATTTCTGAATAGGTGATACATTTACATAGTTCAGACTTGAAAATGTGTAAAAGAGTGTACAGGGGAAAGTCTCCTTCTGCTCTCTGACCTCTAGCTACAAGTTTCCCTCACTGGAAGCCAGTTAAGTTCCTTAGGTACCATTTCAGATACTCTTATAATCAGATATGTATTGGTAGGTATGTATGTGGGTATATGCATATTCATTTATTTTTTTCCCCTTTTTCATACGAGTAGTAGCATACCTTAAACAGTGTTCCTCACCTGCCTTTTTTCATTAGGGTTGTTCCATTAGGATTGGTGCATAAAAGTGTTCATTTATTTTTTATGGCCGTAAAGTATTCTGTTGTATAGGTGAACTCCAAAATTTTAAATCATTCTCATGTTGATGGACATTGCAGTTGTTCCCATCTTTGGATGTTACAACAGTGGTATAATGAGAAACCTTGAATTTCTTGTATTCACCGATACATGCGTCTACCTAATAGCATTTGCATCTATCCTACAGGCTGGCTGCTGGCTCTACGAGGTTCTGTGCTGGCATCCTAAGCACCGCTAGGCACTTGACCATTGAGCAAAAGATGGCAGACTACTCAAACAAACTCTACCATCAGTTAGAGCAAGAAACAGGGATCCATACAGGTAAGCAGGTAATCTAGACTCTTTTACTCAGTACTATATTTGGTCCTATACCAAGTCAGCTTGTGATTTGGTAATTCAGACTTAAGTTTTAATACAGGTTTTGCCACTTGTCAGGGTATGACCTTGGGCAAGTGACTTAGCTTGTTGAGCTGTCTTCACTTTCCTTATCTGTAAATCGAGGGCCTTCAGTCAGTATCCTAGCTCCTTTTCAGATTCTATAATTCTTATAAAGTGGAAGTTTTCCTGGGCCATTTCCTATATATTTCACTCATTGAAGTATAGTAAGTGGCAACATTTGGCTCCTAAATAAAGAGGAGAAGAAACAACTCAACTTTAGGTGCTTGGTAGTTAAATCATAGTTTGACCCACTGCACTTCAAAAATTGATATTAAGGATATTTCTACCTAGAAAGCATAAACATGTATTTCTCCTTACCTGTGTAATTAAGGGGGTAAAGACATAGAATTGTAAGTTAAATAATACTGGAGTAAGTAGGAACTGTCCCAAGAAGAGGGAGACGAAGCCACGTTATGGTCCCATATGGTAACAAGGTAGAAAGAAAGTCAAGCGCTTTGTTATAAGGTGATGGATTAGCTAGAAGCCCAGAGTCAAACCCAGTCTCGTGGCTGATTAAGCAGTTTGGTGACCACAGTATAATCATGAGAGGGTAGTGAGGCCCAGTGTTGAAATTCAGGACAATGCCTGTATGAGGCAGACCTTGCATAATTCAGATCACAGATACTTCAAGATTAATACTGACAAAAAATGGTAGCTTTTCTTTTTGCCAACTGAAGTGTAACCTTATTTGTAAATTGTAACTTAAGACTGATTTTCTAATAACTTGAATATGATAGACGTGGACCTAACTGTATTTCAGTTCTTTTTGGTTGGGTTTAATTTAATGACAACAAGGTACTTGAATCAGATACTAACCAGTATTTGAGTCAGAAGAGGGTCCACATAATGAGCCCAGAAATGGAACTGCTGAGTCCTGGTCCTTTGGTTCAGTTACTCGTGCTTTGTTGAGCCTTGCATGGCTCAGCTGGTTAGATTCCAGAGGAATCAGGGCTGCAGGCTTCTTTTCTGTAAGGTAAGTTAGGCTAGCTTTTGTTCGAGGTCACTGGCTGGAATCCTTTATTGGGCCTGATCTCTCTTTGATGTCTGTGGGGCAGTGAGGAAGTCAGCCAACAGAGAGTAAGGGCATCCACCTCAATCTGTCACCCCCATTGTAGTTCACCAGTGATGCAGTGAAAGATGATGTAGGGACTTCCCTGCTGGAGAATTTTGTTGTCCAGCAGAATGTACAGGTGTGCATTCCAATGACTGCTGTCATTCAGTGGACTGCTTTGAGATATTAAATAAGTGACATGTGTACAATGTAGATTTGATGATAACATATAATAAGCTAATCCTCTGAAAATAGTTCATTCATGTGAGGTGTATGTTAACTGCTTTCTACTCTGAATTACTGGTTCACTCCAAGGGTCCTGATTATGCAGATACTAGTTTCTGCAGTGCTTCTTTTGCACATGATGTAATTTTTGTCAGGTGATTGAACATGATAATCTAAAAGTTTTAATAATCTTTGAAAGTATTCCACATATTATTTGATCTTATAATAAGGAAGGATCATTCTTTTTTTTAAATTTATTTATTTTACTTATTTATTTTTGGCTTCATTGGGTCTTCGTTGCTGCGCACGGGCTTTCTCTAGTTGCAGCAAGCGGGGGCTACTCTTCGTCGCAGTGCACGGGCTTCTCATTACGGTGGCTTCTCTTGTTGCAGAGCATGGGCTCTAGGTGCGCGGGCTTCAGTAGTTGTGGCATGGGGGCTCAGTAGTTGTGGCTCGCAGGCTCTAGAGCACAGGCTCAGTAGTTGTGGCACACGGGCTTAGTTGCTCCGTGGCATGTGGGATCTTCCCGAACCAGTGTTTGAACCCATGTCCTCTGCATTGGCAGGCGGATTCTTAACCACTGCACCACCAGAGAAGCCCAGATCATTCTTTTACAGATGAAAAACCTAGATGCAGGTAGATTAAACCATTAATTTACCAAGTCGGTGACAAATCAATTTTTAAAAATTACTTTGTGGGTTAGAAGGAACTTTTTTTTGTTTTTGGACCCAATTATTTAATTAGGTTCTTTGTAAGAAGTTTAGAACACTACTTTGTGAGGATAAATTCCGTTTGTAAGAGCGAACACAGAGCGGAGGTAGCCCTGGAGCTGAGGAACAGCTTTGATTCTTCGCAGAATTTGTGAGTCCACAGCTTTCTCATCGACCTTCCGCTGCTCTGTGATCTCGTATTTCTCTCTCTCTGTGTCGAAGATCTCACCTTCCTGGTGCTGGGCTTACGCAGTTTTTTCTTCTTGAAGTAAGCATCAGTGAGATGTTCTGGGATTTTCACACCATTGATATCAATTTTGGTGGAAGTGGCAATGACAAATTTCTGGTGTGTTCTCTGCAGAGGAACTCGATTGAGGGACAGAGGCCCAGTTACAAGTAGCAAGCCACTGCTCAGCTGCTTCAGGAAAATGACCCTCTTGACTCTGTGGCGCCCAGCGAGGATAATCAGAATGGTTCCAGGAGTGATGCTAGCACGCAGTTTTCTCACATGCTTACTGAAGGGTTTTTTGCCGTGACGCAACAGCTTTCGAGGCACATCTTCAGTAGGATAATACCTAGGCATTTTGCAAAGTTTAACCACCTGGGTACCACCATTCTTGTCACCACCAACTGGTTTTGTGACAGTAGCAAGAACCTTCACCTTCTTTTTTTTTCAACCTTGGATTTAGCTGCTGAATACTTCCTCTTGTACAAGGCCTTTCTGGAATACATAGCTGATCGGGAATTATCTGCCAATTCCTCTGACCAGGACAGGGTTTCAGCTGCAGTGGGGCTTCCCCTTCTTAACCTGCTTCACCTTTTTAACCTTTGCCGCCAGCATCAGCCTTCTTGGCTTCAGGTTTTTTCTCCTTAGTATCTGGCTTCTCAGCCTTTTCCCCCGCCATCTTGCAAGATGGGAAAAAGCAGAAGGAACTTTTTTTTTTTTTTTTTGCGGTACGCGGGCCCCTCACTGTTGTGGCCTCTCCCGTTGCAGAGCACAGGCTCCGGATGCGCAGGCTCAGTGGCCATGGCTCATGGGCCTAGCCGCTTCGCGGCATGTGGGATCTTCCCGGACCGGGGCACGAACCCGTGTCCCCTGCATTGGCAGGCAGACTCCCAACCACTGTGCCACCAGGGAAGCCCCAGAAGGAACTTTTAAAAAGTTTTAAACATATGTAATAAGTTTTATACTCATTATGATAAATGTGAACAATACAGAAATCTAAAAATAAAAAGTGGTCCTCCCCACTGTATACCCACCAGAAGGTTACTAGTCTGTGGTTAGTTTGTATGTATATACAGGTCTACTTTTTTTTAACCCAAATGAGACTGTATTAAGCATATTATGTACTTTGTTTTTTCCACTTAAGAACATCTTGTACAAAGATATACATGCATGAGATTGGTAAAATAAAATGGAGCATCCCCACAAAGGATTATTAGGTAGATGTAAAAAGGAGGAGGAAGATGTCTGTGAATTGCTATGGAGTGATCTCTGTGATAATTGTTAAATGAGAAAAACAAGGTGTTAAAAGTATATAAAATGTACTACTTTTGTGTAAGAAGAAATAAGCAAATATGCAAATGTATACTTAATTTTGCAAAGAAAGAAACATAGGAAGGATAAACCAGAAAGTACTGAGGTTGGTTACCTCCCAGGGTAGGTGAGAAAGAGGGTGCAGGGTGGAGGCCGGGGGTGTAGTGGTATTTCTGGCCTGACTTTGTATAGTTTTGACTTTTAGAACAGTGTAAACATTTTGCATATTCAAATATAGAATAAAACCATCAGGAAAAGGGGGGAATGTTCAGTGGAACACTATCCGAAATAATCTAGTTGCATTTCGTATGAATAACAACTTTACTATAGGGGGAAAAAAGAACAAACCCAGGGACTTCTGATCACAGTATTTAGACTCCACCTTCAGTTGAAGACAAAAGGAAATGTGAACAAACATTGACCCGTAATTAGCAAGTTTATTTTTCACAGTGGTATGGACAGTTCTGCTTTCTGTGTACCCCAGGATTGAGCAAAGGAGTAAATATATTGAGGATAAATTTACCACTTATAAAATCAGGCTCTGAAATTTCAGTTTTCCAAACTTGGCAATCTTGTCAGCGAAGGGCATATTTATCTGATGTGAAGGAACAATAAAATATTTAAATTATCGTGACTGTATTTCCTTTTCAAAAAGACACTTGATTGATGCGAGTTTTTCTTCATAAAAGCTAAGACTCATTGCATTCTGGGAGGATTGTCATTGACTCAGGTGTAATAGTGGTCGTATCCAGTACACTGATTGCAAACAACAGGAATTGACCATGGCTAACTTGGGCAAAAGGAGTTTGTTGGAAGGCCATTGGGGCCTGTAGAGTTGGCAGGAGGCTGCCAGCTGGAGGCAGGGTGGAGGCCAGGTTGTAGGGACCCAACAGCAGCCAGTCCCTCAGCTGGAACTGGAATCATGTGGCCAGGACGCTGCTGCTCCCGAGATGAGGGACGTCCAGCCATTCCCCTCCTTGCTCAAGACTCAGTATTCCAGGAGGATCAGATTGGCTGAGCTTAGGTCACAGGCCTGCTGGCTGTGCTGAGGCGGAAGATGTGCTGAGTGGCCTTCACCAAGGGTTACTCTCCCACCAACAATAGGAGGAGAAAGGGTCTAATTATAATTACATAAAGGAGTGAAGAATTGATGGTCACTGTTACTTCTCGCCCCCCCCCCCGCAAAAAAAAAAAAAACCAAAGGTTTGTTCAGCAATGGTGTCCTTCGTTTCTAGTGTAAGAGTGATTTTATGTACATTAGACTCATTTGATCCTCACCAAACTGTGAGCTGAGAATGATTGGGAGGTGGCAGCCCAGGACTCATCACAGGTCTTCCACTTTACAGTCTAGTGGGCTTGCTACTCTGCCCCCCTGCATTTGGCCTGGTCTGTCTCAGTTTGGGCTGTTTTTTCTTCCAGGTTACATAAGGACAGGTTCGATCTTTCTGGCCCAAACTCAGGACCGGCTGATCTCCCTGAAGCGCATCAATTCACGGCTGAAGTACGTATGAGGCTAGAAGCCTGTCCTGACTTTACTGTCACCTGACCTCTGCCGGAGGGCAGTGAATGTCATTGTCCCCCTGTGTTCTGTGGCAGTGTTATAGGCATCCCCTCCGAGATCATCTCCCCCAAGAAAGTCGCCGAACTTCACCCTCTCCTCAATGTGCACGACCTGGTGGGGGCCATGCATGTCCCCGAGGATGCAGTGGTGTCCTCCGCTGATGTGGCTCTTGCCCTGGCCAGTGCTGCCTCCCAAAATGGTAAGCACGTTTTGGGGTTAGGAAGGAAGAGGTCGTCTAAGAAAGCATCTCTCAGTAGGGCAGGAACACCAGCCAACTTCCATATTGGGATACTGGGTCCTGGCTCCTAGAATTTTTGTCTTAATATAATATCTGTTAATAAATATTTTTCCTTCGGGCCACATTTTTCTTATTAAGTTCCAAGGAACTGCTTTTAGTCCTGCTTAAAGCACTTTAGGTTTAAGGGCATTTTCTCCCCCACAGGACTTGAGAAGCTCTAAGGTTGAAACACACCTTGGGGATTTAATCCACAGCTTGGGTCATATCCTGATGTTGGAATGAATGGGGGGAAGACTAATCATTGTCCATGGTGTTATATACTTTGGATGAACTGATTCATGATGTACGTAGATTAGGATTTAAGGATGCCCAATGGCACTTTTTCTCTCCTACCCCTTTTATGATCCCTGGAATTATTTTGGCCATGCTGCGTGGCATGTGGGACCTTATGTCCCTGACCAGGGATCGAACCCGTGCCCCCTGCAGTGGAAGCGCAGAGCCCTAAACACTGGACAGCCAGGGAATTCCCATGATTCCTGGAATTTGATTACATACTAAAGTCAGTTTTTTCAGTTGGCCTGGTATTTTCAGTCTGGGAAATGTCCATTTACACAGTCTCAGGATGCAGTTCCAGGAGCTTTTTGGTTTTTAAAATTAAAGGCCAGCATCGACCTGGCCTCTTCCATGTTTGTTGAGAGTCTGCTGCAGATGCCTAATTCTGAAACATCAGATGATGATGCCCCAACTCTTTGTTTACCTTGGAACAGGTGTTCAGATCTATGACCAGACAAGTATTCTTCATGTTATGGTGAGGAAAGGTCAAGTCACTGGTGTGGAGACTGATAAAGGACAGATCCAGTGCCACTATTTTGTCAACTGTGCTGGTCAGGTAGGTTAGTGACAGTACTGGGTCACTGCTTTTCTTATTTAACTTTTGTCTCCAGGATTTTTTTGGGGGGGGAGGGGTGCGGTACAGATGTACAGTTAATATTGTGATGGACTAAGCAGATGTCAGGGACCACACTGGTTCTTGTTTGGACAGGAAAACTCAGAATCTCTCACTCCAAATCGGAAGCCTGTTCTTACTCCTCAAATAGAAGCCTGGATGACCTTTTCCTTCCTCCCCGCTGGCTAATTGGCGCTGTCCTGGTCAGGAAGGCCAGGAGAGATGGGCATTGACAGAAATCAGTCCTTGGCGTCGGGTCTGTCTGTGGTGTTTCATTTCATCCTACCACCCAGCAGATGAGTATTAGGCTGTTTTATTGTGTCAGGAGCATGGATTCAGTTTCCAGGACACTAAACTGCTGCTGCTTTGAAGGCAGATTGGTCCCTTGCCTCTCACTCCACAGTCTTAAGGGGACCTAGGAGTACTTGCTGCCATGTGCAGTTCTTTATGATTGATATTTGGGGTTTGTGGTTGAGGCCAGGCGTTTTGTTAGAAGGGCCTCACTTGCTCCCCACGAGCTCCTTTCACAAGCTAGTAAATCTGTCTTCCTCTGCTCAAAAAGCAGAGTTTGTGGTTTAAAGGGCGTAGTGTTGCTCCCCATCCAATAGCTGAACTAAAGCAGGCTGGAACTTGGCTTCCCACAGCTGACGTGGAGGCAAGAGCACACAGAAGCCACTTGAAATTAAACTCTTTTCAAGAGGCTGCACTTGCTCATTTGTCTTTCTGTTCCTCTTCCACCCACAAATCAATCTGTCCGTTTGTAGTGGGCATACGAGCTGGGTCTGTCCAACGAGGAGCCGGTTAGTATCCCGTTACATGCCTGCGAACACTTCTACCTTCTGACTCGCCCCTGGGAGACCCCTCTGCAGAGCAACACACCAAGTGAGGACTTGCACTTTGTTTTTAATCTTGTTTCCTTGCCCCTGTTCTGTCCTCTGCAAAGGAAGGCTTTCTGCTAAGGACAGACTGCGCCCGGAAGAGTCTTTTCTTTTTGTTTCTTTTCTGGAGCATGGTACAGGGAGGTGGACCCCATTGTAACTTGACTTTAATAACTCTTTATGAAAGGATGGCCAAAGTGGGCTTTGCACTTAAGCAGTTTTGTTTGTTTGCAAGCTAACGGGTAGTCCCAAACAGAGGTCTAAACTAAGAGTGTTTGGAATGTAACCTAGAGTTCTTGACTTAATGCTACACGTTGTGGAGATGTCACAGGTGAGCTATAAACTCGGGCTGTTCAGAGAGTCCCAGCGCTGTAGGGAGGGTTTGATACCACTTGGAGGCCTTCATCCCTGGAGTGGGCTCCGCAGTCCCCCCTTCTCTTTGGCTTTCACATGGCACAGTGGCAGTTAAGCAGTTTGTTTCTGAGAACTAGTCAAAGCTTCTAGGTAAGTGATCTGGTTAGGGATAATCTGAGAAACAGTCTCCACTGTAAATCTGAGAGGGAGGATCCTCCCCCATGACCGGGAACAGTATTTTAAAGCTAATGAATGCCTGTGTTCACTGAATGCTGTTTGGTTAATAAGTCCAAATTTGGGTGTTTTTGTTTTGCTGCTTTTTCTGTCCATTTAGACAGCTGGCTTGCCGCTCAACCCTGTCTTCTCCTCTACCCCCCACCCCCTTGTCATTTCTCTTCCTCAGCTATTGTGGATGCCGATGGAAGAATTTATATTCGGAACTGGCAGGGTGGCATCCTGTCTGGGGGCTTTGAGAAGAACCCAAAACCAATTTTCACTGAGGGCAAGAACCAGCTGGAGATTCAGAATCTACAGGAAGACTGGGATCACTTTGGTGTGTGAACTAGATTCTAACAAGATTGCCTTATATTTGTCTAAGATGTTGTACTTTAAAGCCTGTTCAGGAACACGGGCATATCTCATTTTATTGTGCTTCGCACATACTGAGTTTTTTCTTGGTTTCGTTTTTCAATTTTTTTTTTTTTGAAGTATAGTTGATTTAGTGTCATGTCAAACTCTGCTGTATGATACTGAGTTTTTTATAGATTGAAGTTTGTGTTGAACAAGTCTGTTGGGACTATTTTCCAACAGCATTTTCTCACTTTGTGTCTCTGGCACATTTTGGTAATTCTTACAATATTTCAAGCTTTTTAATTGTTATGGTTGTTATGGGGATCTGTGATCAGTGCTTTTTGTTGTTACTGTTGCAAAAGATGATTTGCTGAAGGCTGATGATGATTAGCATATTTTAGCAGTAAAGGGTTTTTTTTGGTTTGTTTTTGTTTTTTCCTTTTTTTTAGAAGTTTTTAATACATTGAAGTCTAAGTAGAAAATTTTTTTAAATGATCTTTTTTTGAGGTACAATTGATGTACAGTATACAAGTTTCATGCGTACAAACAATATAGTGATTCACAATTTTTAAAGGTTACGTTCCACGAATAGTTACTATAAAATATTGACTACATTCTATGTTGTACAGTACATCCTTGTAGCTTATTTTTTTTACACATAGTAGTTTGTACTTCTTGACTCCCTGCCCCCATCTTTTTTTTTTTTTTAATTTTATTTATTTATGGCTGTGTTGGGTCTTCGTTTCTGTGCGAGGGCTTTCTCTAGTTGCGGCAAGTGGGGGCCACTCTTCATCGCGGTGCGCGGGCCTCTCACTATCACGGCCTCTCTTGCTGCAGAGCACAGGCTCCAGATGCGCGGGCTCAGTGATTGTGGCTCACGGGGCTAGTTGCTCCGCGGCATGTGGGATCTTCCCAGACCAGGGCTTGAACCCATGTCCCCTGCATTGGCAGGCAGATTCTCAACCACTGCGCCACCAGGGAAGCCCCCTGCCCCCATCTTGTCCCTCCCCTTTTCCTTCTCCCCAACAGTAACCACTAGTTTTTTCTCTGTATCTGTGAGTCTGTTTCTTTTTTGTTACATTCACTAGTTTTTCTTTTTTAGAGTCCACATATAAGTGATAACATACAGTGTTTGTCTTTCTCTGACTCATTTCACTAAGCATAATACCCTTCAAGTCCATCCATGTTATTGCAAATGGCAAAAGTTTTTTTTTTTTAAGAGCTGAGTAGTATTCCATTGTGTGTGTGTGTGTGTGTGTGTGTGTATATATATATATACACACACACACACACACACACACACACACACCTTCTTTAGCCATCTGTTGATGAACACTTAGGTTGCTTGCATATCTAGCCAAGTAGTTTTTAATTTACATTGTTTTTGGTTATGTACATTGTTTTTTTTAGACATAATGCTATTGTACATACAGTACACTATAGTATAGTGTGAACAAAATTTTTATATGTACTGAGAAACCAAAAAATTCACGTGACTCGCTATATTGCGATATTCACTTTATTGCAGTGGTCTAGAACTGAACCGTGATATTACCCGTAGTTCCTTTTTTGATCTTTGTAACAACCCCTTTTGGTGGTTACAGAGGATAGTCTACAGAGTTTGTCTGATCTAAGGATACAGTTATTGGTGAGCAGATTCAGGGACCTAAAATTAAAATCTTGGTTTAAGGGACTTTTGGCTTATCACTTATTCACCTAAAATCATTGCTGAAATTTTAGGCTGGGAGGAAACCTTCTTTTGATAGGACTTCATTTAAAATTGAAGAGAATTTTAAGAAGCAAAATAGTTACATTAATATGTTCTTTTACTCAGTTTTTAAATAATTTTAATTTATCGAATAGGTAATACAGTCACATGGTTCCAAATTCAAAAGATATGAAAGGGTCTGTACTGAAGAGTGTCCTTCCTTCCACTTGGACTTAAAATTTTTTTCTTTAAATTTAGGAAATTTCAAACTTTTAAAAGTGAATACCTACCAGCCAGCTTCAGTCTGGCTTCATCTTTACCACTGTCCCACGGGATCATTCCCTGACGATGGACTTACCTTAAAACAGGCTGAGGATCTGTCTTTTGCAGCTGTTCCAACTTAGGGAAACATTGCCTTTTATTGCACATCTCTTTGGGGGTCATTTAAGAGCTTTTCCGTGAGTCCTGATCCCTTTGAGATTCTATAGCCAGATGTAGTATTTACTCTTCCGTAGCTCCTTTCCCTTCTAAAGAGTATCTCTTTTCTCCGTCTTTATGCCAAGAACTCTGTTGGAATGCCCCACACTTCCCCAAGGCTTCTGCTTCTGACAGATGGCCCAGTTGGCTCACCTTAGAAAACCTCCACAAGACATTTTCTGAAAGGAGAGGGAATAGAAAAGTGTAAGGGGTAGGGAGTTTTGAATCCCCTGAAGCTGAGGACTGTGTTTGGGTCTGTTTTTGTTGCTCAGAGCCCCTGTTGAGCTCCCTGCTGCGTAGGATGCCAGAACTGGAGACTATGGAGATCATGAAGTTGGTGAATTGCCCCGAGACCTTCACCCCGGACATGCGGTGCATCATGGGCGAGTCCCCTTCAGTGCGAGGCTACTTCGTCCTGGCGGGAATGAACTCTGCTGGCCTTTCATTCGGTGGAGGAGCTGGAAGGTAAGTCTTTCCCACTGAGGTTCGGCTTGCGAGGCTTCTTCCTTTGTGGAATTACTTCTGGTTCATAGGGTTTGTGATATACCTAATCCAGTATGTTCATAATGAGAGGAAGACACGTGTCATGAGAGAGTTGTCCCCTAGAAAGTACTTGCCATGGGAGGCTCTCCCCATGTTCCAGACACGTCATTGTACGGAATGTTTTTGGAGCTCCTCTTTGGAGTTAGCCTTGGAGCCAGTGGATGTTCTTGTGTACTAGTTCAGTCATAACAAATGTTGGTCCTTTGAATATGTATTTGAGTTTGGAAATAGCCAGGTGTGGTGAGTGAGGTAGAAGATCACGCTGATCACACAAGTTTTTATTTTCAAATTTGGTACCTATAAAAATTAAGCGAGGGGGCTTCCCCGGTGGCGCAGTGGTTGAGAGTCTGCCTGCCAATGCAGGGGACACGGGTTCGTGCCCTGGTCCGGGAAGATCCCACATGCTGCAGAGCAACTAAGCCCGTGAGCCACAACTACTGAGCCTGCACTCTAGAGCCCACATGCCACAACTACTGAGCCCACGTGCCACAACTACTGAAGCCCGTATGCCTAGAGCTTGTGCTCCGCAACAAGAAGCCACCGCAATGAGAAGCATGTGCACGACAACAAAGAGTAGCCCCCGCTCACTGCAACTAGAGAAGAGCCTGCGCGCAGGAACAAAGACCCAATGCAGCCAAAAATAAAAAATTAAGCCAGTGTTGAAAGGACAAATACTGTATAATTCCACCCATATGAATACTTACAGTAGTCTAATTCATAGAGACGGACGTAGAATGGTGCTTGCTAGGGGCTAGGGTAAGGAGGGAGTAGGGAGGAGCTGCTTAGTGGATATAGAGTTTGTTTGATGAAAAGGATTTTGGAGGTGGATGGTGGTGATAGTTACAGATAATGTGAAAGTGCTTAATACCACTGAAGTATACACTTGTCAACGGTTAAGATGGTAAATTTTACATTGTGTGTTTTTTACCACAATTTAAAAACATTTTTTAATTGGCCAGTGTTCTTGAGTGAATTGTAGAATGGCTCTGAAGACAGTTATGGAGTAGAAGTTACCAAAAATGTTTGGAGCAAAGGCGATATGGCCAGATAACTGTATAACCTCCTGAGGTGACTTTTTACAGGAAAAAAACCAAAAAAAACCCATTGGATGTATGGAGTACATTTGTATGTATATTTTAGTCTTATTTCTTCGTAGTTGTGGCTTATCTCTATACTTTCTAGGGAATCTTATCATTAGAACTCATATCCTCATAGCGGTCTTGTGAGAGCAGTAGATGGATATAATTTGTTTCTTCCAGAAGTTAAGAAAATTGCCCAGAATTGCTCAACCACTCTTGACAAGATAGTCTTTCGATTCTGTTGGTGCTTGATTCCTAGTACAGCGCTGAGAGTATCACGGTGCTGAGAGGCCCAGCAACTTCCCCCATCTACACAGGTACCTCGCTGAGTGGATGGTGCATGGCTATCCCTCAGAAAGTGTCTGGGAACTGGACCTGAAGCGTTTTGGAGCCCTCCAGAGCAGCCGAACCTTCCTGCGCCACCGTGTCATGGAAGTCATGCGTAAGTGAAGCTTTATCCCTGTTGCCCATCGTTGCAGGCATCTGACTGGTTCTGTCATCCAGAGGGGCAGATTCTTCCTTGGTTCTTTAGTAATTGCTTCAAGTTGGGCTTCTGAGTTTGGCTGTTTCAGGCCTGTGTTGGGGGCATTATGCCCATGTGACATTTATGGAACATTTTCTTTAGTGTATTGTATCTTAGTTACCTCGGGGACCAGGAAAGTGGACTAGGACGTACAGATGGTGATTCCTGTCAGACTCCTGGCAGCAGCTTCTTGAACATTCCCAGCATTGCCTCCTTTCCACTTTGCTGTGTCAGAATGAATGCTTTCACTCCTCACTTGGTCTTTTAGATCATGGTTTGCTTTCCAAGGCAGAGAATTTGCCAAGTTAGTCTCAAAGCTTCAGGCTCCTTTGAGTGACTCTCGTCATTAACCCATCCTATGCTAGCAAGATAGGAAACCATTTCTCATGTAAATACCCAACATACATTCCTGTTCTTTCTCCTTGTTTTTGCTTCTCTCTGACTTTGAAGGATGCTTTTAACTTGTTACTACTTTGTCTTGGCTTTATTTTCCAGTGTGCCCTTTAAAGATAGCTTTTGAATCAGGAATTGAACCAAATCAGATTGTAATTTCATTTTTCTATACCGAGGAACTGTTTTCAGACTTGACCAAATATATCTGTTTGGGGAATAGTTATCCTCAGGACTGAGATTCTGCATTGGCTGTGACCAGCATTCTTGTTTTAAGGACGGACTGCTGGTTTAGTAGCTGGAGGTTCCATTAGCAATGAGGCCTTTGGATGACCTGTCACACATGTGTGCTCACTTTTGGTCTGTGGCAGAGAATTCACATCCATGGGAGTTAAAGGACCTGGAAGCAGTATGTGTAACTGCTAAGGTTCTTTTTTTTTTTTTTTTAAATCTTTATTGGGGTATAATTGCTTTACAATGGTGTGTTAGTTTCTGCTTTATAACAGAGTGAATCAGTTATACTGCTAAGGTTCTTTAGTGAATATTTTGGTTACAGTGTTGAACTGTTAAGAGTCTAGGTTTCTACATCTATCGTTACTTTGAAAGCTGTGCAAATCGTAAATGAGCTGGAGCTTCTTGATGATACAATACAGTACTTTTGGTGGCCGCCTCTAATTCTCATGAGATGGAAGTTGCAGGCATGATAGAAAACGGGGAAAGGGAAAGTAGAACCTAAAACCCAGAGGAGACTGTCACAGTATAAGGACGCCAGCTTGGTTTCCTTCTCTGTCATCTCCCAGTCTCCCCCCACGCTGACATACCTCTTGTTTGGCCTGATGTGAAGTCCGGTCTTCTCTCTGTGAGAGACTAGAGATCACACTCT